CTAAGTCGAGTATGTCGAGATCGTTACCGTTGAATCGGACTTTCAGATGATATTTAGGTCAGGGCAATTGTTTCCATTCACCGAATCAATCAATTTCAATTGCATTTTCGGCTTATTTTGATACTAACTTATCTTACTTCTTCCTGTTTTCACTGTTTTAAAATATGATTTCTTAAATCATCATGGAGGTATGATTTGAGTAGCATTCCTAAATACGATGGAAGCGCATTTGAATCGATGTTGGATTAAGTGATCATTAACATTAATTATATAGTTCTAGGGGTGTGCGGTAGACTTACCTCCACGTGGTGCACCCAGGGCAACGTATACTCATACGGTAAAAAAGTCTATTAACTGGCAGTTGACTTCTCACTTCAAACTACCATCACCTCACTCTATGCCATATTCGACTATTTTCACAGTACTCACCTCACCTTTGTTCTACCTTCGTGTTCGTCTCTTACATCTTTGAAACACTCCTCTCTTCCCCCTCTCGACTTTTTTCAAGTTGATGTTCCTTCCCCTCTATGAAACCTGAAGGCAACTAAAGGGCTAATGATAACCATCAAGACGCCTGCCATTTGATATAAATAAATAAATTATATAGTTCTATTGCAATTCTCATGACTACCAACCACAAGTAAATTAAATATTTATTCGGACGCGAGCCCCCTGCTGATATTGGGGGAATTTTTCATCGTCCAGCCTTGCTGTTGTCCATGCGAATACACAGAGGTTACCGAGTCTAAACTTCGTAAAGTCAAGGATTTTGACGGTATTTCAACTCACACAAGACCATAAAACTTACTCAGCTCAAGATCGAAAACTTTAAAAAGAAACAAAATGAAAATAAATGCAATGAAGTAAATATTACAACTTTTAAAGATGATGGTGATGATGATGGCGCAACGAAATTCGCTTGAATATAAACATTTTCAATCATTTTCTGAACATTAATAAAGATGAATAATAAAGAGAAGTGGTGAGAGAGAGATTTACATCAAGGGTTTCGCACTTCAAACAATATTATCTCCCGTATGAGTAGATGTATTCTGTTGAGAAGATTGTGTCTGCTGTGCTGCCCGTCGAAGGGAAACTTGTGGCGGCGGGGGTTGAACAAGAACAGGGAATCTAGCCAGCACACCTGAACTACGACTTTGTGAGGATGTCCTATGAGTAAAAGAGGAAGATGGGCCAAGAAGAGGGTCGTTTGATTCCAATTGCTGGTTTCCATGCCTCTGATGTTGAGATTGTGATATACCCTGATGATGATGTAGTTGTCTATAATGTTGGTAGGCCTTTCTCCAGGAGGGAAGAAAATGATTACGTGAAGAGTGATGCAACTGAGGCTGAAGTTGCTGGGCTCTCTAAAATTTATTGCAAACCCATAAGTGGTCGAAACAATTAATTTTGCTTTGAATATAGTGGAGAGATGAACTCACTTTTGCCGAAAGTAGCATGAGTTGATTTTCCAACTCCTCTGCACACATCACGTCGTCCATTCCTGGTCCAAGAATTAGAGTACCTATCCAAGGGCCACCTCCACTTGTTACGGAAGCTGCGCCGGTTTCGCAATCATTGCCAAGAATTAGTGGCGGCTCACCATCACGGGTGGGCTTTTCTCCGCTTGAAACTGATGGCCCAAGAACGAATGAGTCAGTAAGAGACTGAAAGAAAAGAAAAATAAACTCCCATCAAAAGATATTTCAAAGGAAGTGGGGTACATATGGAATGAGTCATTGCTCCGAAATGCAGATCCATATCTGGGTAGACACCATGGCACAAGATTTTACTAATAACAGTGTCCAATAACAATGATATCTCAATGCTCTTACTGAAGATTCAGCACAACTGGAGCTTGGTCTATCATTGCTCACATATCCATGATCCGTTGTGGTGGCAGCAGATGAAGACACTGTTGTAATCTGATCGTCTGTTCCTGGAGGTCTGACTGTAGCCACTGTGCTGCTCTCAGTAACACGATAGGGACTAACTGCCGTGGGATCAGTCACAAACTCCGCAAGAGGCATCTCGGCTTTTTCTTCGGGCACTTGAGCTAACTGTTCGCTCGAAAATACATTACTTTTCACGAAGACCCCAACACCTTCGATGATAATTGCTGCTGCAGTCCCCGATGCGCCTGGAGAGACTGTAGAGAAGGTGGAGGGACCAAACGCAGAAGGGGTAGTTGGACGCAGAGAAGAAACAGCATGATGTTCGGACCCGCTATCACAAGCAGAAATACTCGGCTCATCGATTCCGCTACCTGCTGTTGATGAAGCACTTGTCGCTTTAACGAGAAGAGCTACAGCACCTGCAGTCGGCGGCGACTTGTCATCATCTGTACCACTTTCTAGGGGTCTTTCACAACAGCAAACTTTATCGCCCTGTAAAGAAAATTCGTATTGCTTCAATTGGCCAACGGTTTGATCATTAGGAAGAAACAAAAAATCTTACCGAATGACTTTTCCCACATCCTGCCTGATGATTGGGATCGCAATCAGTGTCCCCGTCTCCATTTAACAGTTCAGTTATTACACAATCTCCACCATTTCCAGCGGCTAATGCACCCGCCGCTGCACTCTGCCGTGCTCTATTGGCAGCCTGATGTCTTAGACAGTAGACACCCAGTAGAAGGACAATGAAAACTGCCAGCACAGCACCTGCAACGGGTCCTACTGGATTTGCATTTGTCCAAGCTGCCAACAATCCACTCCCAACGCCCCCTCCTCCAACAAGTAGATCACTCCTCTCTCCATTGCCAATGTAATGCCTGGCAAGGATATATGGTGAGGCATGGAGATCTTCATCTTCACGATATTTTCCCCCCAATTGCTGCTGTTGGTTGTGATAATAATGATAGTAATAATAGTAATGATAGAAATGTGCTGCAGCAGCGGCTGATTGAGAATCACCAGCACCACCATTCTTCTGAAAGTTGTAGAAACTTCCAGAAGATGGCAAAGGATTTTCAAGGGAAGGCTGTGGCATCATCATATGCGGAGGTGGTGGAAATGGTGGAGAAGTTAGAGGAGGTCGTTTCTCGTCAAAGAAGCTTAGTGGTGCTGAAATTGTAGAAAAAAGAAACTAGAAATCTTGTGATGAAAATGGCATTTGAATGGAATACGCGCGAATTGACCAGATTTGCTGTTGTTCACAAAGTTAACCATACAGAAAAATCAGATCAACACCAAATATTAAGTGATTTGTGTCAAAGAATACTTCTGATCACTTTAATATCATATGAAGCGCCTAAAGGTAATATCTGAAAGATCCTTTTAAAATCAACTAAAAACGGTAGCATAAACTTAACTTATTTAAGTGAAAACAGCATACTTAACTATGCTAATTAATTTTTTTGGAGGTATGACATTTCTGCTACGTCGAAACTGCAAGCGGCCAATTAAAATATATGATCATTTTAGGTTTACCCTGATCGGTCATAATTAATTAGAAAATGAGGTCGATGAGCATTGAATGTTGTGGACAAGCAGTTGGCTCAAATCAAGGGATAAATAAAGTTGACATGTGACATGTGACAACTACACTACAACCAGGATGGATGAAATCTAGGACTGAATATTTTACAGGCCGAAATGAGTGAACAACGAAAAAGGACATTGGAAATTTACTTAAAACGAAACAGAATCAAGTGCTACCATGCGTTTGACAACTAAAGTGGCAAAAAACTGCGAAAAATAAGCATATAAAAAGAAGATGACAACAAAATTATATACGTGGACTACTGTTAACTCCTGAAACATCAGACGATATTGACTTAGTCGAGGTAGAGGAAGAACTGTGTAAAGAGTAAGGCGATAAACTCCCAATTACTCCTCCAAAACAGACTCCCATCGGTGCACAAAATCCTTCATTCAGCACAGATTGGCCATCGGATTCCACAACACAGTATTCGCATCCAATACTGGCAGTGCACTCGGTTTTCCGTTGAGGCGAACGAATGGCAGTGCAGTCAGTCGGGCCAAGAGCAGGAACCAGTGGTCCGGAGGACCGAGTCGGAGAGGAATGAGCAGAGGTCTCAGAGGAGGAGGCGGAAGCCTGAGGAAGGAGAGCCGAAAGCCATTCCGATAGAGAAGCAACTGGCACCCGCTTGGAAAGAACGTTAGACTGCTGACAAAGAGGAGGTGCATCGGGCAAACTTGCTAGAGCTTTCCAGGAAGCGGCTGCAGCAGCTTTCGGTGTTGATAATGTAATCGCTTCGTGCTAAAATTAGGTAGGAGTATATGCACATCCATTATAGAATACGTATTAGTCATCAGTTTACGACTAACAAATTCTCTAATCTGCAAAAATTTACTTCGTGTATCTTGTTATGAAAAATATTCATCTAACTTTGGAATTTAAGCAACCTCGAGGTAGGATTCAGTCATTCCAGGATTAAGGATTAACGGTTTAAAACGTTCAACCGTCTATGCAACGATGGATGCTATAACCCTATATCATACGCAAAGCAGGAATCATTACTTCGATGCTCAACCAATTAACGATATGCGTAAATAATTCTAATGACCAATTAAGACATCAGAGTGCTTTCAATATAAAAAGAACCTACCCAAGAGAAAGGTTGGAATGCACTGTCCATCAATCGACTCGGGTCTTCTTAATTATCAAACATAAAAAACCGTATAAACGTAAGTGAAATTTTTTGCGCATTTTCAGACTTAGATCGATGCTTTCTGGTAGAATTATTATGAGTTCACATAGAGAAAACTCGTTCAAGGTCTAAAATCGCCCATCTCCACAACATGTTTATGCCAGCAATGAGAAACAAATGAATCCCAGCGGCACGCACAACCTCACTTAGAAACTGAATTACGCCCAGGGGAAAAATGAACAACCCAATGCCCCACACTTTGATTAACGTAAGATTCTTAATATTTTAAAAATTACAGAAAACTCCTAATCATCATCGCTCCCAACTTCTAGCAGTCTAATTGCTGTTCAACGTGTTCAGAAATCATATTGTAATTAAAGGTTGCAAAAGATTTTTTGCATTGTCATTGACTAGACTATTCTTACCGACAGGGAAAGACACGCAGGATGGGCTTCAAGAAGTGAAGCTGAAGAAGAAGAAGAGTTGAAGGCATTTGATGGAGGACCAGCAGTAGGGACCACGCCAAGAGGGCACTGACAAGGACAC